CGGAGGCCGGCTGCCGGGTCTGACAGGCTGGGCCGCCGCCTCTCCCCGCCCTGCGCGAGGCCGCGCGTGCGCCGCTGAGGCGTGAGGGAGGGCTGGGCGCGGAGACACGCAGGCCGTGGCTGAGGGCGCGCGCCGAGGGGCGGGGCTTCCGCAGCGCCCCGCCCCAACTCACCCCGCCCACCAGGTCGGTGGTCAGCCCTCGGGTGAGCCTCCTGCACAGTCTTCCCCCGAAGTGGGAGTAGCTGCTCCGAGTTCTCGCCACCCCAGATGGGTAACGGGAATCGCGAGTCTGATCTTGGTTATGAAGGCTCGGTGGAGAACATTCTTCAGTGCTTACTAAGTAGGAATCCAGGTAGCCTTTCTGTCCTCGAGTTGTTGATACCTTCATGGCAAGTTGGGAAATTTGCCGTGCAGTCTGGGCAGCTGGATAGGACAAGACCGTGAGGGTCAGCAGCTGTAAGGCCTGCTTTATGTTTACTGTTTTTCAGCAAATATGTGACTTCCTCTTGTGTTCACCTCCACATTACTTGTGCAGATTTTTGTGAGTATATTTCCCATATCTTTCATTACATTCTCAAATGGCCCCAAGACTCAAGATTGAAAACAGCACTGTCAGGGGCTGGAGAGATGTCTCAGTGGTTTAGAGCACTTGGCTGTTCTTGAAGCGCCACGTGGAGGCTAACAACCGTAACTCTAGTTCCAGGGGATCCGACACCCTCTTCTGACCTCCGCAGGTATTGCATGACACGGGCGCACTCACACACATGCAGGCAATACACTTATACACCTGCAATAAAAATAATAAAACAAAAAAACAACAGTCAGGCTGAGCATGGTGGCACACGCCTGTAATCCCAGCACTTGGGAGGTAGAGGCAGGCAGAACTCTGAGTTCGAGGCCAGCCTGGTCTCAATAGCGAGTTCCAGGCCAGCTGGGGCTACGGGAGGGCGACCCTGTCTCAGAAAAGCCAAAAAATAAAAAAGAATCTTGTGTGTTTCATGAGAGCATCAGTTCTTTTGCACTGCACTTGTGAGCTCCCTCCTACTATATTCCTCCCAGTGCTTTAGTCATGAGATCAAGTTAGGAAACCTGAATTAGACACCCCATGGTCCCTAAACCTGGAAGGGAAGACTATCACCCAGCATTTCACTAGTCAGGACATTCTGGTCATAGTCTGCTAAAGAGAGTTTACCAGAGTTTACTCTCCCAAATCCAAATACCTTAGTTCATTCAGTTGGGAGTAAGTTGTTTTGGTGGTTTTTAATTTTCCTGTTTTACTGTCTGAAATTCTACTAATGAGAGATAAAAATAAAGCAAGCAAATGTTTGGGGATTGTCATCAGATTCTCTTTAGTATAAATGCTTCAAGTAAGATTTTATTTAAGGAAGGGGGAGAGATGTTTTCAAGAAAAGTTGAAATAAAAGCCTGGATTGTTTGGAGGACATTACAGCAAGCTTTGTTGAGGAGGGCTGCAGTTACAAATTCCACTTTGTCTTTACTCTTTTCTCATTGGTTTCTGGAGAGAGCGATAAGAAGACAACATAAACTATGGATGGTGATTTTAAGATATATCTGCATAACCCTACTTCGTAGGGGGTGGACCTTGAGTCCCTTCCTATTGCTTGTGGGCAGCACTTACTAATAGGATATGGCTTGTAATGGATAGTATATGGCAGAAGTGACTGTGACTCATGAGAGTAGGTCATAAAAGGCATTGTGGCTGCTTGATTCACACTCTTGAATCTCTTGCACTGTGAGGAGATGGCTATCACATCATTAGGAACTCACCCAGCACCATGGAAAGGCCTGTGTGAGAAGCTTTAGCCCCCTGTCAACAACCATGTGAGTGAACCACTGGAGGTTGACTCTCCAGTCCTAGTGGGTGACTTCATCCTGGACGACTGAAACTTCATGAAGTACCCTGGGGCAGAACTACCTAGCAAGGACACGGACAGATGATGGACAGAAACTGCTTAAGATAATAAATGTCTGCATTTTAGGATAACTGTGGGGTTATATTTTTATCCAGAAAGAGATAATGAATACGCTATAAAGTTTTTTTTCAGTACCTGCAAATACACTTTATTAAAAATAATCACATGGGCCCTTGTTCCTAGGGCTGCCCTTGTACTAATGGCATGATTTGTATGATTGTGCTTTCAAATAGGCTAAATAGACTTCTGCCAATAGGCTTGGAACGTAATCACCATTTTCAGTCTTATTTCTCTGTGTATGGAATTTATAACAACAGACAAACTACTGAAGTACGACCTACTTATCAGCATGGCCTAGAGTTCTGCTAGCTGTTTCTCAGTATGCATTAATTTTTATGAGACTTTATACTTTTTTTTTCAGGCTGAAGAATTTTTTTTTGTATAACACACAAAAAGTTTCACTAACCTTTTAGCCCATCTTTCAACCAGGAGGCCCATAATATGCAGGTTGTTTAGGTAATTCCAGAGACCTACCAGTTCTGTTGAGATAGACATGTCTATGTCAAAACCTGTTTTCTGGCCCAGGTATCTATTGGTGACAAAGCTAAATATTATAGCACACTAACATTTACTTAATACTTGCTTATGTGCCAGTCACTGTGCAGGGTAACTGACTTATATTTGTTCAGTTAGCTATTAAACATTTATTTTATTTTTATTATTTTTATTTTTTGTGTATGCATGTATTGCCTGCATGTAGGTAACTGCACCCATGTTGTGCAATGCCCACGGAGGACAGAAGAGGCTGTCAGATCCCCTGGAACGGGAGTTGCGGACAGTTGTTAGCTGCCATGTGGGTGCTGGGATTCAAACCCAGGTCTTCTGCAAGAACAGTAAGTGTTCTTAACTGCTGAGCCAACTCTCAAGTCCAGCTATTAAACATTTCTAGGAAGAAAGCAGTGACTATAAGCATGGCTTTTGGAGTCAGACTGCTTGCTTTGAATCCTGTCATCACAATTCACCATCCAATGGTCTCTGGAAAACTTACCTCTATTTGCCGCATTTTTCCTGCCTATGAAATGGAGATGATAATAGTACCCACTTCATAAGGCTGTGGTAAAGACTAAAATATATCACACTGAAAACACATATTTTCTAGTACATGTAATTGTTCAGTCATTGACAGCTATTATTTCTATATAGATGAGACATAGAATCCCAGGATGGTTATGTGTCCTGGCTAAGGTCATGCAACTAGTAAACAGAGCAGGAACTCAATTTAGATGGTTTCAGAGTTTAAACTCAATCATGTCTACACTGTCTTCCTTGGTTTTGCTTCTGTTTGGTTTTTTATGAACAAATGAACTACTTGCAGAAAGGCATCTATACCCCCAGAAGCATAGAGTTTCTTATTTCATAAAATATCAAAGATTTACTTTGAGACTTCGGCACCATCCCATGAAATTCCTCTTGGAAACAAGTGAAAAAAAGTGGGAAAGTTTTTTAAAATTGAAACAGGAAAAGAGGCCACTTAGTTGATAGGTTCGTGCACTGCATATTCCCCTCTGGAAACTGCCTCTCTCTTTTCAGAATATGTGGTTATAGGAGGTGCTGCAGGATGCTTTAGAATGTGTTTTCTCCTTTTCAGGAGGAATGGATGCTGCCGAATGTATATGAATAGAGTTAGTGATATGATATACAAGTATTAAATATAATGATTTCTTCTTTTGGGGGGTAGTCTATTCACAGAGTGGCCAGTTTCACTTTAACGCCTCCCCTCAAAGGAGGGGACAGGAATTCCAAAATTGATAAGAGAACTGTCTAAGAACAGGAGATCCCTCCTAAGACAGAAGATACAGGAGAAGGTTCACCACTGAAAAGCATCTCCCCAACTAGGCAAATCAACCTGTAAATTAAAACCTTCATGCAACTGAGTTCATCATTTTTGTTACCTTTGTTTTTGTTTTCCCATAGGTTTTAAAACAAATATTCCTATGTATTTATCTGCTCATGCTGGGGTGAAGTTTGAGGGAATAAATGATCAGATCAGGGTTTAAGGTGTAAGCATTCTACCACGGAGTCTGGGAGGTGGCGTCTGGGCTGGAAGTTTGAAGAGGAGGGTGGAAGACAGATTTTGGTGCTTCATCATAGACAAAAGCAGTACCTGGGAACTTGGAGAACTGGCCCATCTTCTAATTTTGTCCTCCATTCTCTATGACCCCTAGCAGCCAATATTGATGAGTTCATTTTCTTGTCTATGAAAAGGTAGGAAATAATATTTCTCCTACTCATTTCATGAGAATACTTAAGAGTCAAAAGAAGTTTTGTATGTGAAAGCATTCTGTCAACTTTACTATAGAGTTATTATTAGAGATCATGGCACTTGAATTAAAGTATAAAGCAAGGGGCTGGGCATGGTGGTGCACGCCTTTAGTCCCAACACTTGGGAGGGATCTCTGTGAGTTCAAGGCCAGCCTGTCTACAAAGCGAGTTCCAGGCCAGCTGGGGCTACTGGGAAACCCTGTCTCAAAAAAAAAAAAGAAAGACAAAAAAAAAATTACAAAGCAAGGGCATATGCAATACTGGTTGTCAAGAATCTTCCACTTAAAACCCTGACTCCAGTCCTTGGTTTACTAACAATATATTTTTGACTCATTTAAAATTCTAGATGATCTGGGGCTGGAGAGATGGCTTAGCGGGCAGAAGACCACAGTTTGAATCCCAGCACCCACATGGCAGCTAACAACTGTCTGTAACTCCAGTCCCAGGGGATCTGACAGCCTCTTCTGATCTTCACGGGCATTGCAGGACATGGGTGCACTTACCTACATGCAGGCAATACACGCATAAAATAAAATAAAATAAATAAATAAAATTAAAATTCTAGATTATCATCACATGTTCCTGTCAACATTGCTCATTTCTGTCCTAAGCTTTTTTGAAACCATAGCACCTAACATCATATTTGTAGCCAGAGCCC